ATTGTAACTGCAATTTTCTTTAGTAAATCTAATAGCTTTGAGGCTTAAAAATAAAGAAAATAATATATACTTTTTCGGCTAGTAGGTGACAATCCTAGAATTACTAACAGCAAAGGTGGCTTATAAAGGTAATCAACCCCCATAAGTGAATGTATAACCTACATAAAAAACAAACGAATCCAATGAACCATGCTTGTACAATGAAAAAGGCCACTGATTTATCTCTCCACCGAATCAAATTGGCTAAAGGTGTTTATTAAAATATATTAGGATAATTGTGTTAAACATTTTGCACGTTCAAAATAAAAATTGTACACAATTACACATAAGTTGATATAATTTATTTTCTTTTAATTTGTTTAACAATAAACTTACATACTTTCCTCCTTAGTTCTGGTGGGCGCACAGTCCAAGATAATGTGCTTTCTTGGGATACAGTCCGATCTTCCAAATTTCGAGCTCTATCCGTAGTAGAAGTTTAATGGAAAAACAAAAAGAAACAGAAAAAGAAAAAGAGAAGAGAAGAAGAAGAAGAAGAATATTAAAGTATATTTTCCGGATAACATTCTAGCTCGCAAACTTTTTAACTACATAATAATACATGAGATAAAAATATAAAACTTTTAACTATGATTAAGTAATAAATATTTATGTCAAAACATGTATTATTCATTTATCGTTTGTTTACACTCAAAATCGAATAACAATTGAATTTGTAAGTGATTTTAAGGATACACGGATTAACTTGATACAAAATGATTAAATTAAGTTGTAATTGAAATAAACAAGGATAAAATAAATTCAAACCACACAAATTGGACAGTTTCAATCTCGGAAGGTTAGCCACCCTTGAGCCAGATGCACTTCGATCGGTATTAAGATATAGAAGAACAAGAGCTTAAAGAGAAAAATAATGATGTATTGCTTTGGAATGCGTATTACCATCTGCTAAATGAATTATCAGACCCTCTTTATATAGTAGAGGAGTCCTACTTTAGGTACAATTCTATAAAAGGTAAAAATCTCTTGATTTGCTGATTGTCGGTTCCTTATTGATACATGCCGAGATTCCCGCCGTAATATCCAAACGGTTACGAATATTTTGGTCTTCTGTTATGCTAACAATGTTTCTTCGAGCTCATTCGGGGCTAGGATCGATTCCGGGATCACGGCCTCGATATTCTCGAAGGCAGGCGTTCCACCCCCGGGTTCTAGCCCAGTAGGACTTGGGGTCAATCTTCAGTCCTTTATTGCCATGTTCCGAACCTGACCTACCATGTCGTAGGTGAGCTCGATTTCGATCGTATACATCGTGTCGAGGGTATTGCCTTCATGTTGTGAATCCATGGTCTCCCGAACAGAGCATTGTATCTCATATCCCTTTCGATTACATAGAACTTGGCTTCCTGTATGGTTCCGGTGACGTTCACCGGTAATGTTATCTCCCCTTTAGTGGTCTCGCATGATATGTTGAACCCGTTCAGGACACAGACCACAGGTACGATCTGATCTTGTAGGCCGAGTTGTTCCACGACCCTTGATCTAATAATGTTGGCTGAGCTACTTGGATCAATTAACACACGCTTAATTCGAGATTTATTTATGAGTATCAATATTACCAGTGCATCGTTGTGGGGCTACATGATCCCTTCAGCGTCTTTGTCGTTGAAAGACAAGGTTCCTTTCGGTACGTAATCCCAAGTTTGTTTTTCCCTTGTGATAGATACTTTGTGCGCTTCAACATCAGACCTTGGGGAATGTCGACTCCACCGATGATCATGTTAATGACATGCTGAGGCGTTTCCTGCTTGGTCTGCTTATTAGAATCCCTGTTCCTGAAGTAGTTCTTGGCCCGATCACTCAGGAATTCTCGGAGATGCCCGTTGTTGAACAGTAGGGCCACATCTTCTCTTAATTGTCGGTAGTCTTCTGTTCTATGACCCTGAGTGCCATGATATTTGCACATTAGGTTGGGATCTCTTTGGGATGGATCGGACTATAAAGGTCTTGGACATTTGGTATCTTTGATGCGCCCGATGGCAGATACGATAGCGGTGGCATCGACGTTAAAGTTATACTCTGATAATCTTGGCGCTTATTTAGGCCCGATGGACCTGTTAAAGCTGTTTTTGCTCATGAGTCCCCAGTTGCTCTGACCTCGATCATTTCTCATAGAGTTCCGCCCGGATCCACTATTTCTTCGGTCCCCATTGTACGGCTAATACTGATCCCTGTTTGATCTCTGTTCACGATTGATGTCTCTCTTGACTTTGTCGATGGTTCTGACGGGATACACGGACCCGGAAGGGGCCCCAAGCGGATCATCTTTGACCCTGATTTTCGATTGATACCGGTTATGGACATCGGCCTAAGTGACAGCCGGATATTCCACCAAGTTTTGTTTCAACTGTTGTGAAGCCAACGACCTCCGAATGTTGGGTCCTTAGGTGAAAGCCTGAACGACCCAATCATTAGCGACCAGTGGCAGGTTCATCTGTTCCGTTTGAAACTGGGACACGAACTCTCTAAGCATCTCATTATCCTTCTGTTTTACTTTGAAAATGTCCTACTTCCCGGTCTCGACCTTGATAGCCCTGGCGTGTGCTTTCACGAAAGAATCTGCAAGCATAGCAAATGAGTCAATATAATTAGGAGGTAAGTTGTGATACCATATCATAAATCCTTTTGACATGGTCTCTCAGAACATTTTCAACAAGACGGACTCGATCTCATCATCCTCCAAGTCGTTTCCTTTGATGGCACATGTGTATGAGGTAACACGCTCGTTTGGGTCGGTCGTTCCGTTGTACTTAGGAATCTCGGGCATGCAGAACTTCTTAGGGATCGGCTTTGGAGCCGCGCTCGGAGGAAAAGTTTTTTGCACGAACTTCTTAGAATCCAGGCCTTTCAATATTGGCAGTGCGCCTGGGATTTGGTCGACCCTAGAATTGTAGGTTTCTATTTTTTTGTCATTAGCTTCGATTTTCTTCTCCCCTAATTCTACCCGTTTTGTTAGTTCATCGAGCATCTTTATGATCTCGGGGTTAGTCCCCGATTCATTTTCATTCGACCTCTCTACGACTGGTTCATCCCTGCGTGTGACTTTCCGGGACGGATCGGGTTCAATTCTGCTCGGTGCGCGATTTTGGTTCTGTAACTGAGCTATCGCCGCATGTTGAGCCTGTAATATTTCGAAGATCATCTGTAAATTGATCCCGTCTCCTTCAATATTTTGTGTATTTTGAGCTGCCGATCGGGCTCCACCATGGACGTTATTCTCAGGATCGGTAGGCAGGTTTGTGCTGATAGCCACATGTGAATTAGCGTTAATTGGGTCCGCGACCGGAATTCCGATGGGATCAACGGGCGGTATCTCGTCACTAGGAAATATGTTGTTATTTTTACCGTGATGGCCGGATTCATTGTCAACATGTAGGGGTGCTGATTGAGAGTTTGACATTTTGAGTTTTAACCTGAAATTAGAGACACTTCAAAGAACAAGTGTAAAGTAGAGTGTGTTATGAAAATTTGTATCAAATAACCACTATTATCCTTAACCCCACGGTGGGCGCCAAACTCTTTACCTCAAAATCGGATAACAATTGAATTTGTAAGTGGTTTTAAGGATACGCGGATTAACTTGATACAAAATGATTAAGTTAAGTTGCACTTGAAATAAACAATGATAAAGTAAATTCAAACCACACGAATTGGACAATTTCAATCTCGGAAGGTTAGCCACCCTTGAGTCAGATGCACTTCGATCGGTATTAGGATATAGAAGAACACGAGCTTAAAGAGAATAATAATAATAATAATAATAATAATGTATTGCTTTGGAATGCGTGTTACCATCTGCTAAATGAATTATCAGACCCCCTTTATATAGTAGAGGAGTCCTACTTTAGGTACAACTCTATAAAAGGTAAAAATCTCTTGATTTGCTGATTGTCGGTTTCTTATTGATACGTGCCGAGATTCTCGCCGTAATATCTGAACGGTTACGGATATTTTGGTCTTCTGTTATGCTAACAATGTTTCTTCGAGCTCATTCAGGGCTAGGATCGATTCCGAAATCACGGCCTCGATATTCTCGAAGGCAGGCGTTCCAACCCCGGATTCTAGTCTAGTAGGACTTGGGGTCGATCTTCAGTCCTTTATTGCCATATTCCGAACCTGACCTACCATGTAGTAGATGAGCTCGATTTCGACCGTATACATCGTGTCAAGGGTATTGCCCTCATGTTGTGAATCCATGGTCTCCCGAACAGAGCGTTGTATCTCATATCCTTTTCGATTACATAGAACTTGGCTTCCCGTATGGTTCCGGTGACGTTCACCCGTATTGAGTGCGTTTAATTTTTTTTGAATAGTGTAGTACTCGAAAGCTATTAGTTCAACTAATTCAACGTGCCACTTAAACTAATTTAAGTAAGAAAGCACTACCTGCAATGAATATTTTCGTTCTCCTGATCGAAATTGAGGTTCAAACATATTTTTTTGATTTTCTACTCGGAAATCGATATCCACTGGAGTATGGATTAATCCGGATTCAAGTCGCACATGTCTCATTCTAGGATAATTTTAATTTTTAAGGCTCGAACCTAAAAATTGTGATTAAAGATAAAGAAATCGTATTTAGCTTACCATAACCTTCAATGATAGTTCAAGAAATACTCGGGCCAATTCCACCCTTATTATTTTTTTTTTAATTATTATTCTTATTCGGTGTCCAATACTCGCATTAGTGCCCGACTAAATTATTCGCGCCGAGTTAGGGGAATCTGCTTTTTTTTTTTTTTTTCCTTTTCGTAGCTTGAGAAGGCTTTCGAAAGGACAAATATACCCCTGCTGAAAAAGTCCAAAATAGAAACTGAGAGGCAATTTCATCTACTCGTCAGGCCAAGCAAAGGCAACTGTCTCTTAGTTGTATTCCTATGGTTTTTCCCTATGTTCCCTTCTCCGAAACCCCTCTCTACCCTCCAATCTCTCCTTATAAATTATTCACAAACACACCCTTTTTCCCAAACAGAGCAAATCTTCTCTCAAATTCCCTTCTAATATTACTTTCTTCAACAATGGCTACTTCAAGAAAATCCAATTTTAATGATTTCTTGCCTCTTATGGCTGAAAAACTAGGTGGGGATGCTTTGATTGGTGAATTATGTAAAGGGTTTCAATTATTAATGGATAAGGATAAAGATGTCATTACATTTGAGAGTCTAAAAAAGAATTCAGCTTTGTTGGGGCTTCAAGATTTGAGTGATGATGATCTTAAGAGTATGCTAAAAGAAGGTGATTTTGATGGAGATGAAGCTCTTACTCAGATGGAATTTTGTGTTTTGATGTTTAGATTGAGTCCTGAGTTAATGGAACAATCTCAGTTTTTGTTAGAAGAGGCTCTTAACCAAGATTCTGACTTTTCATTCTAACTCTTTTGTCTCTAGGCTCTTTGCTAGGGGTTTAAAGATTGTGACTTCTCATTGTTACCTTTTTAACTTTATAATACTTCCTTTTAATGTAATCATGTAATACATTGCAAACATATATAGGGATACAAGAATTAATGGGCTCACTTTCTTGGATATTCATACTTGTAACTTAGAGTAATAGTTGACGTTTTGGATAAATGTGCATTTGATTAGTAGATTTTATTTTCTGGTTTCAGTAGGTAAAAATGTGGAAGATCATGAGAGTACTTTAGATTTTCTAAAATCTGGTGTAGTAGATCGCCTAAATGGTCTTCGGATGATCGTTTATTAGTTATTATCAGGCTCATTTTTATAAAGTGAGAGATCTCGGTGATCTCATAGATCGGTTATGTGTTATTTAGAGATCGCTCATGTATTATTTATGATCGCCTAAGTAATCTATGGTCGACAGATCGCATATAACTTATTACCAGGATTCTTTTATTTTTATATAAAGTGGAAGATTCTGGCAAAATCATAGATCGACTATGTATTACCTAGAAATCGCTCATATATTATTTATGATCGCTAAGTGATCTCCGGTTGATCGCTTGTTAGTTATTATCATGATTTTTTTTCATAAAGTGCGAGATCCTAGTGAAATCATAGATCGCTTATGTGTTATCTAGAAATCGCCCAAGTATTATTTATGATCGCCTAAGTGATCTCTGATTGATCGCTTATTAGTTATTACTAGGATCTTTTTTTTTATAAAGCGGAAGATCCTTGTGAAATCATAGATCGCCTATGTAATATTTATGATCGCCTAAGTGATCTCCGGTTGATCGATTATTAGTTATTACCATGATTTTTTTTTTATAAAATGGGAGATCCTAATGAAACCATAGATTGGCTATGTGTTATATAGATATTGCACGTGTATTATTTATGCTAGCATGTGTGATCTCCGGTTGATCGCCTATTAATTATTACCAGGATCGTTTTTATAAAGTGGGAGATCCTGGTAGAATCATAGATCGCCTATGTGTTACCTAGAAATCGCACATATACTATTTATGATCGGATGAATGATTTACAGTTGATCGTTTATTAGTTATTACTAGGATTATTTTGTTATAAAGTAGGAGATCCTAGTAAAATGATAGATCGCATATGTGTTATCTAAAAATAACCCATATATTGTTTATAATCACTTAAGTAATCTTTGGTTGATTGCTTATTAGTTATTATCAAGATTATTTTTTATAGGGAAAAAGCCCAAAAATGACCTTGTGGTATTCGAAATGGATCAATTATAACCTTCGTTTAAATTTGAATCCAAAAATGACCCTGCCGTTATAAAATGGGTCTAATAATACCCTTGTGTTATTCAAAATGGATCAATAATGCCCTGAATTTTATTTATTTTTTAAAAATATTTTTAAAAACTGGAAAAAAAACAAATATGCTGTGTAAGCACAACATATTTTTTTTTAAAATACTTTAAAAACTGATTTTTTTTTTTAAAAAAAAACTAGAAAAAAAACTCTCCTAAAGCAGTGGACTACATATGCATTAGTTTTAAAAAAATAAAAATATTTTGCAAAATCTTTTTTTTTTCTTCAATTTGACGGTTCAATATTTTTTCGATTTATTTTTATAAAATAAAAAATCTACCATAATTATCGGTACAGTTATAGATAAAAACATACGGTTTTATTAAAAAAAAACCTAAACATCGATTCGGCACGGTACGATTATGTCGGTTTAGTCGGTTTTTAAATATTCATTTACAGTTATATGTCGGTTTTTTTAAAAATAAATTTCCAGTTTTTTAAATTTTTTTTTCTTCAGTTTTTTTTCCAGTTTTTTAATTTTTTTTTTCAGTTTTTAAAATTCAGTTTTTTTTTCAGTTTTTGCAAATTCCTTTCTTTTTCTAGTTTTTACAGAATATGTTTTTTTTTCAGTTTTTAAAAATATTTTAAAAAAATAAATAAAATTCAGGGCATTATTGATCCATTTTGAATAACACAAGGGCATTATTAGACCCATTTTATAACGGCAGGGTCACTTTTGGATTCAAATTTAAACGGAGGTTATAATTGATCAATTTCGAATACCACAAGGTCATTTTTGGGCCTTTTTCCTTTTTTATAAAGTGGGAGATTCTGCTGAAATCATAAACCGCATATGTGTTACTTAGCAATCGCCTATAAATTATTTATGATGGTCTAAGCGATTTTGGTATGATCGCTTATTAGTTATTATTCTGATTATTTTTTTATTAAAATATAATTCGTAACTATTAACAATATTCTCACTCCTGCATGAAGAAATTAAAGAAAAAACTTAATTAAAAAAAATAAAATACGCGGCGTCTCCTCATTAACTAATTTTCTCTTTAAACAATGTACCAACAAAAAAAAAGAGCTACAAAAAGACAAATATCAACCGGCAAGTGGCGTAACAGGACCAAACATAGAAATTGGGAGGCAATTTCTTTAACCGTCAGTCCAAAGCAAAGGCAATTTCGCATTAAAGACAGTTTCTTAGTTGTATTCTCATGGCCTTTTCCCTATGTCCCCTTCTCCGAAACCCCTCTCTACCGTCCAAATTCTCCTTATATATTATTCACAAACACACCCTTCTTACCAAAACAGTTCAAAGCTTCTCTCAAAATCAATTCTTTCTATCTTTCTTCAATGGCTACTTCAAGAAAATCCAATTTCAATGATTTTTTGCCACTTATGGCTGAAAAATTAGGTGGGGATGGTTTGATTGGTGAGTTATGTAAAGGGTTTCAGTTATTAATGGATAGGGATAAAGATGTCATTACATTTGAGAGTCTAAAAAAGAACTCTGCTTTGTTAGGGCTTCAAGATTTGAGTGATGATGATCTTAAGAGTATGCTTAAAGAAGGTGATTTTGATGGAGATGGAGCTCTTAATCAGATGGAATTTTGTGTTTTGATGTTTAGATTGAGTCCTGAGTTAATGGAACAATCTCAGTTTTTGTTAGATGAGGCTCTTAACCAAGATTCTGAGTTTTCATTCTAACTTTTTCTCTTATACTTTCTATAATGTAAACACATAAAACACATTGATAATATACACAGATGTTTACTGCACCTTTTGTGTTATTCTCCTTTTGTTGTTGTTTGTGGCTTTATTTATGTATGTCTTTGAGCTTGTTATTTTAACCAAACCTAGGAAACTAGACTATATTCACGCTTGTTACCTTGACAATGATATTTGCCTACTTTTACAAGTAAAATTGACTAAAATGATAGCTGCCAGTTCACGACTCTAATAGTTCTACACCTCTTTCTGTAATTGCTCAGCTAATTGAAAATTGCATTGTTGTGTCAAGTTGTCTCCATGTGATCTATAGGTCATGGATTCGAGCCGTGGAATCCGGGATGCTTTGTGTGTCGGGAAGGGGAGCCTTGGAGCAACAATAAAGTTGTCTCCATGTGACCTATAGGTCATGTTCGAGCCGTGAGTCACTAATGCTTGTATTAGGTTAGGTTGTCTATATCACATCCCTTGGGGTGCGGCCCTTCCACGGCGCTGCGTGAATATGGGATGCGTTATGCATGGGGCTGCCCTTATTGTTGTGACGGCTAAATTTGTTGGTAATCTCTCCACCAAGAAGAGAGCAAAAACCACAAATTTTGTGATAATATTCTCCAGTCATCTCATAAGTTTACACTGAAAGGTCCTGAAGAATTTGCTCGAGCCTTAGAATAGTTCAGGGTTCATCTTACCATGTTGACCCATACATATAATTCTTGGCAAAGTCAACATCACTTTGGGACAGGTAGAGCTTGTCTATGTCTTTTTCTCCTTGTAATTGTTGTATAGTAATGAATAAGTGTATTTTGATTGTGTACAGAATGGCTAAATGCATCATCATATGATGATTTTTTATGGATTCCTAACGACTAATCGTGTAAGCTAATGTTATCAACCTATGGATGTTCTTTGGCTTATTCCCTATTATGCTTGTTTTACTCTACTCAATGGGGAGAACGCATGCAGTGTCCCATAGTATCGATCAATCTCAATCTCTAAGTGATAGTGAGAGCATTGCTTAAATAAATAAAGATCCTCCCATTCTAAGATCGTATGTCAATCTGTCACTACTTTATCTTATTGCTGATAGAAGTTGCTTCTCTTTAAGACTTTAACTGCTAAAGACGTGTGGGTAAAGCAGTCTTAATTAGTCTAATCACAGTTGCCGTGCTTTCTGGATTGGTTCTTCTCTGCTACTATGTTTCTCGGAGGAAGAAGGTGGATAAATGTGTGTGCAGCAGAGCTAATTTCACAGTGTTGTATAACACTAAAATGTAACAAAATGTTTTAAACTCGCGATGGAGTCATGGTAATTGCATTCTTCAGAATTCAGATTGTTGCATTCTGTTCCCCCCCTCCCAATCCCCTCCAATTTGAAAACATGCAATTTCTTATCTTATTGGAATACAAAGTACTGGTGATGCTTGACCTCCTTCAAATATAATTACTTATATTCCATTCTTTTTGACAAGAGTGGGTTGCTCTAGTGGTGAGCACCCTCCACTTCCAACCAAGAGGTTGTGAGTTCGAGTCACCCCAAGAGCAAAAGTGGGGAGTTCTTGGAGGGAGAGAGCCGAGGGTATATCGGAAACAGCCTCTCTACCCCAGGGTAGGGGTAAGGTCTGCGTACAAACTATCCTCTCCAGACCCCACTAGTGGGATTATTGTTGTTGTTGTTTTTGGTTATCTTTTAAGGATCTTTAGTTTAACATTCATGTAGTAATTATTTCCTTTTCCTATCTCGAAGCTAAGCATTTTCAGTACAGCTACTGTAGCTCATGCTACTGATAATTTTGCAGTAAACAACAAGCTTGGTGAAGGAGGATCTGGACCTGTTTACAAGGTAAACTTCCATATTTGAGAGTTCTGCCTTTACGAAGCAGAGGAGAAGCTAATTTGTTTGGTGGAATAGAAATATGGAATTAAGGAATAGGAAGAAGAATGGGAGATGTACATATAACATGGTGTTGGTGTTGGTTCTCGCAAATGTTTTCATTAGTCATCATTTGTTATGCTAGTTGTCACTCTTTTGTCTTTCATCTTCAATGTTTATTGTCCTAGAAGGTGGAATAGTATCCTGATTTCAGAAATGAAAAGAATTTTATACCTAAATCAAACCTTGAAGTAGAGATGGAGATGAGCGCCAATGTTAGGTGGTGCATATTGGACTGATGGCTATCATGCTTATTTCAGGTGACGGGTTGGAGAGTGTATGCTGTCAATGGTTGAGGGCGCAAGGTGAATTATATACCGAGCACAATGTGCTGAAAGAACGGGTTTGGGTGGGGTGGGGAGAGGGGGTTTGGCGGGGTTGCAGCACGATAGCTTGAACTTCTGGTTGGAGGCTTGCTTACATGTGGTGTTCTTGTTATCTCTCAGTTTTAGCTCTCCATTTTTCTCTGGAGCAGAAGGGTTGGGAGTCTATATGTGTAAGACATTGGACTGAGAAATTGTTAGGGGTTCCCTAGTTGAAAGTTGAAACTATTGAATTTGGCTTTGCGATCTCTTTTTAAGTTTTGTACTATGATGGCAAGAGTTGAACTTAAATACAATGTGACGATTTATATAGCCGACAACAACTTGTTTTGGGACTGAGACGTAGTTGTTGTTGGTTCTCTCTTTAAAGTTTCGGAGCTCCGGTGTCTGCGGATAGTTCTTCTTTCTTTTCTTTCCAATATATTTGTTGCATTTGACTTTCTTCCTACCTTATAGGACATTTATTTTGTGTTGTCCAAAGGAACAAAGAATTCTCAAGATCATAATATAACCTGATTTTGTACCTGAATTTGAGGCTCGTTAAGCTCACTACTGTTATCTGAAAAAATCCCAAGTGTATTCCAATTCTGAATACATCATTTATTTACAATTATTATTCTTGGTTTTCATTGGACTCCAATATGCTTAAATAGTTCGACATGAAAATTGATGATTCATATGACCGACCTCAAATTGCTTGGGATTAAGACGTAGTTTCTGTATTCTTGGTTTTCATTATGTATTCTCCAATTCTCTTAGAAGAATCAGTGAACTGAAAAGAGAAGAAATGGTAAGTAGCAAGAATATTTGACATGAATCCTCTGGATCAGAGTTTGAATTTTCTGCTGCTAAGACCTAGTAGTCATGTTCCGGTAACAACAACAAACTCAGTATAATATCACAAGTGGGGTATGGGGAGGGTAGTGTGTACGCAAATCTTACCTCTACGTTAAAAGTAGAGGGGCTGTTTTCGAGTCACTTTCTGGTAAGTAGATCTTTACTGTTATAGTTTCAAGAAAGGGGAATATCCCTTCCAAGATGATGATGTTATATATATTGCTATTGAAAGTAAAGATATTCTACATAATATGAATATTTCACTCAAAAGTTTGCTTTCAGTTCAAAACGATCAATATGTAAAATCAGAATAAGATAATTCCTATGCCATAGAATGATACGCACAACGCGTAGCATTCGCCCTTTATGGTTAAGACTATTGGGGTATCTATTCCTATTCGCTCCCTTTCGCATTTACCTTTAGTAAATTACCATATTTCTAATTCAATGATTTTAATAACTCTCTTACCATAATTTGTTGGATGATGATGTTATAGGGAGTTCCAATTTCAGATGTAAAATCTGTTGAAGATTGTCTTTATATTAAAGGTATCATTATGAAACTTGGTAATGTGAAACAAAGGAAGATATAATACATTTGGACCCTCCTATCAATCATAATTTAAAGCAAACAGTATTACTATTATTTTATAATATCAGAAGTATTTTACACGTTAAAAAAGTCCAATTAAGAAAAGAAAGGGAAAAACTTTAATGAGTGATAATTGAGAGGTTTGGTAAGGCTGAAAGTGCAAGGCAAGTAGTCATGGGGCAATGTCAAACTTATCCACTCATGCCTTCTCATTGAATTTCCTTTAGACCAAGAGCAATTAACTTTTCTTTGGTTTTTAACCCGGCGTTTAATATCTGGTTTGGTGTTTCGATTAATCCGAATTCACATTACGTAAAGCATATAAAAAGGAAAAACCTTGCTTACCAGAATTTTTTCTATTTTCAAGGCTCAAATTTGAAACCTATGGTTAAAAGTAGAGGGATCTTGATCATCCCAGCACAATCTTTGGTGATCAGATTAACTGATTAAAAATTGTTGATAAGTAACAAGTGATGATAAGTATATTTAGATATTAAAGTTGATTTTTTTATTTATATAATAATAGAAATTTTATCTCCTATAGTAAAGGTATACACCATATTTATCATAAATCAAAATTATTTTAAAATATTATTTTCTATAGCTACCTTTTATATTTTATAGCAAAATAGGTATTTATGGTATACCCTACCATTAAGGCATGAAATACGCTATTTATATTTTTTTTCTCTCTTTTTCTTTCGGTTAACACATGATTCTTTCTCAAAATCTGAGCAAAAATTTTCTTCAATCTCTCTCTTCCTTCTCTCTTCGAGCAAAATTCCTCCTCCTAATCTGGCCGAATACTAGAATTGCTGAACACGATTGCCAGATCTTAATTTCGCTCAAACTAATTAAAACAAGAACATGATTTACTTCTTGAGATGAAATTCTGCTAATTTTCATGAGGCAGAAGGCGAACAGGAAGGTCATGCTTTGGCACAGGAGAAGCATGGAACACAATCTTCTCATCTGGAAGCATGGAATTTTCTTCTTTTTTTATTTTTTAGTCACATGCAATGATATAAATACATTATATTCTGTACAAATATACTCAAATATATTATATTTTTGTATAAATATATTATTTTTTCAGCTGTATTTATGTATTTCCAAGATATGTATTTTTTTAATACAACCGAATATCACTGTGTTTTGTGATTTTTTATTGTTTGAATACAGTCGAATTCAATACGGTGAATTGCATACAATGTATAATAGTGAATATCTGTGAATTAAATACAATGTATACAATCAAATTGAATAGAACGGTATACACCCTATTTTCTTGATTTTTTATTGTTTGAATACAACCGAATTCAATATAGTGAAATTGAATATAATTCAATATTGCGCTTTCCGTTATTAAACACCCGTAATTACTATTTTTTAGGCGGATTACCTCACTGTATTTATAAATACATTTGCGCGAATACATGAAATACATAATTAAACATCTGTAATCCCTATATTTTTACCTCATTGTATTTATAAATACAGTCGCGTGAATACATGGAATACAGAACAATTGCAGCGAAATTTATATAGAATTGATTTTGTTGAGTTATATTAGGAGTGTATCACATTAATTGATCCTCTTTCCATTATTAGACAGTTGGACAAACCTTTTTATAAGGTGATTGTCGTTACTGTATTCATGAATACATGACGCGAATACATCTGAATACGGTCGCGTATAGCTGGACTCCCCTATTTTTAGGCGATTTTTGTTATTGTATTCATGAATACAGTTGCGCTACCATAACAACTGAATAGTAGCTATTGGAAGTAATTATATATATGTTAGATATAGGAAGTTAATAGTCACTAAATAATAATAGTTTTTGAATTTTTTTTTTATAATAATATATTTGGATAGAAGTGTTAGAGACATATATGTTATTATCTCTTCCATTCTTACCCTCCTCCATATACTTATATGAAGAGTTTGTTCTGATTTATTTGCCAACGTCCATCTAATAGATTTTTTTTTAATAATCGTGGTATTTGCTCTAATTTTTTCGGACCTTAATTAATTCTACAAAATATCTATTGTCTCTCATAATATAAATATTCAGATATGTCCATCAAGTTAGGGACTAATATAAGTAAGAAAACATGAAAAGGAAAAAGGAGAAATAGAGACGTGAATAATCATTAAGAATGATGATGGACGTGTCAAGCATTGTCCACTAACATTGTGTAAATTAAACTACTAATTATTCTAATTTTTTATTTACCATATACGAGCTTATATGTAAAATCTATTATTATAGATAAACTTAATCTAATTGTGTAAAAAAGATTTCACACGCACATGACATAAATTCTAAAAACAAACACAAATTCTTCCAAGTCATATTTTTTATTAGCAAATTAAAAATTCAAAAATATTTTTAAAAAAAAATACTATTTAAAAAATAATCTTTCATTCTTGGGATAATAGTAGGGTGCAATGAAGTAATTACACTGCAATTAGCTGTAGTCCAAATCCTCTTACTGTTCTTCCCAACTATAAAGAGAAAGACAGTTACCCCATTTTTCTTTCGAGAAGCGAAGGCCTAAATCTAACCAAATCCGAAAAATGGCTACCAAGGTTTACATCGTGTGAGTATTCTTTTCATCTTTTTCGCTTTGCTTTTCAGCTGTTTTTTGAAACATAAATAAATTAAAAATTCGTGTTCTACTGAATTTGCATTCAATTTGATCAATTTCGTGTTCAATTTGTGATCAATTAATCAACGATTGAGCGTTACTGATGTGATTTTCATTCAACGAATTCGTACTTTAATTTATAGTAAATGATGGATTCCATTTTAGCTTCCTGTTGCTCTGTTTAAATAAATTTATTATAAATTACAAGGATCTGTTGGTCACTTGTCTTGATTTGATAAAGCACAGTTTGCAGGAAAAGTTTGAGCCTATGAATTGTTCATTGCATTGATTTAGTTTTTTAATTAATTTCGCGTAGTTTGATATCAAGTGTGGATATATATATATATATATATGTATTCAGGGTTTATATATTGAGGCTTTTGAGTTGAAATGTGTGAATTATATATACACAGACATATCTAACTCTATATAAACTTGTGTTCCACATATTCATATAGGGTTGATAGGTTCAGCAAAACTCATACAGTCCTTTCTGGATCCGCCACTCTATGTATAGAGCTGTACAATTTTGTGTAAAATTATACTTCCTCTGTCCCATTATATGTAATACAGTTTGACTAGGCACGGAATTTAAGAAAAAAAAAAGAAAGACCTTTGAAATTTGTGGTTTAAAACAAATTATATATATATATATATATATATATATATATATATATTTGTGGCATAAATCATCTAATTAAGGATATAATGGGAAGCTTAAAGTTAAATGATTGTTAAATATAGAGTTCATTCCGTTTTGGGACAGACTAAAAAGGAAAGTGCATCATATAAGTTGGGACAGAGGGAGTGTATACTACGCTCCAGACGCTACTAAAATGTAATAGTGGGTGTAGTAGTACTCATCTTTATTTGACGTTAGTGATCTTAAAAATCAAATGCCGTAGTACTCTTCTTTTCTCTGAAGTACTATTTGGCACGTCAAATTGCTTAGAGCGGTTTGGGGACTGGCTACCCCTGCAACTGCTGCCTTCTTGTTCTGGGTCACCTGTTCTTCCAGGTAGTAGAATAGATTGAATCTATAGTAGGAAACAAGAATTTAGCCTATATTCGACTTGTTTGGTATACTATTCAAAGATATGGGACCATCCGAGAAACAAGTCCATGAAAAAAACTAGAAAATGAAAGAAGACAAAATCATTAGAAGCAGTGGCGAAGCCAGGAATTTCATTTAGGGTGTTCAAACTTGAAATAAGTAAAAACAAAATTCCCGATAAAGAGTGTTCAATGTATGTTATATACCTTTAAAATCTAATATTTTGCCTATATATATAGTGTAATTTTTCGACAAAGGGTGGTCAGTTGACCACCCTTAGGGCTGTGTACCTTCGCCCCTGATTAGAAGTGGTTAAAGTTACATACAATGCTATGCTGAGGGATATTAGGCTATTTGTCGGGCCTTGATGGTATTTTAGAATGAAGTTAGATTTGTCAAATTAGCTACATTTGTCATAGGTGTTAATCAGAGCTTAAAACCATCTTGAATCTGATTCCTTTTGGCGTCTTTTGTTGGTTTCACTCACCTGTCCTGACTCTTTCGAATGAGTCAATGACTGCATAAACTTTATGAAATGTTTATCCTGGAATTCATTCACACCTTTTGGAAAGAAGCATTCTCATGTTTTCGTGGCGCTTAGTGGATTTCTACTTGTAGGTCATCAATTTGGATACAGTTGGAGCTATTGTGTCCATGCTCAAGATTATATGTACCCCATTCTTAGTCCAATAGAGTCGGATTCATAATAGTTTCTTTGGAAGTTTAGGATCTGGGTACGTAAAATGTGACGGCCACATGGTACAGCAATAATGTCAAATCTGTAACCAAGTACAGAGCAAAAGGTTTTATCTTAGCTAGAGTTGCAAGGATGGTAAACTAAGAAGATATATATGAATAGCAGTCGGAGTAAAGGGATCAGGAACTAGTTAGTAAATCTGATTGGAAAGAGGGACAGATTGCTATTTTCTTAAATCTTTGAGTAAATTGAGTTGCATGCTTTGTATCGCGGATCCATTAAATAATGATAGCTGACATTTTATTTTATCAACAGATACTATTCAATGTATGGTCATGTGGAGAAACTAGCAGAAGAGATAAAGAAAGGGGCAGCTTCTGTTGAAGGAGTTGAAGCGAAATTGTGGCAAGTAGGTGCTACTTTGTCTTTTGATTTCTTTTCCTTTGGCGAAAATTTATGTTATACTAATCAGAGAAAATTGGATACAACCTCTCTACCTGCACAAGGTAGGGGTAAGGTCTGCGTACACACTACCCTCCCCAGATCTCACTTGTGGGAATACACTTTGTATGTTGTTGTCTTAATCAGAGAAAGTATCTGCAATCTCTACAAGATATTTTGCGCTGAAAAAAAAAAGTATCTGCAAGTTTGTGTTATTGACAAAAAATGAGCCAGGAAGTATAATATTTGGGGTTTTCCCATGTGAGTCTGGTAAAGAAATAGTATTTCTCAACTTTCACGAAACTAATTTATTGGGAAGAATGGAAGGACCATAATTTATTTGGGTTTGAAACTCTGCGCTGTTCAAAATGGAAGGACCATTTTTAAGTAAGCCCTATTGGTGTAGGCTGGTTGAAGGAACAAAAGTTCATGCTAATTGTGAAAATTGTTTCTTATGACTCTGTTTGGTGGTTTTCTCCCATTTTCTTGTCTCTCAGTAAGGGACTGAAATAAGGAGTAACAAATATAGAAATTAGAGAAGAACTTAGACAAGGCCAGTGCCAGCAATAAGACAAAGCAGAGCTACATTGAAGTTGGCTTATGCAAATAATTACCAAGTGTTGGAAACCGTTTGCTTCTTTATTGTCAGTGAGTACACTTTTCATGGGAAGAATGTAACTGGACCATTTGCTAATTTTCTATTTAGGACGTGCTAGAGTCCCTAGCTTTCCACATTACTGTAATCATATCTTTCTGTTTATGAAATATATCATTTTGTGGTACAGGTACCTGAAACGCTGTCGGAAGAAGTGCTAGCAAAAATGAGTGCACCTCCAAAGAGTGATGTGCCTGCTATAACACCTCAAGAACTTGCTGAAGCAGATGGTTTTGTTTTTGGATTTCCTACGAGATTCGGAATGATGGCTGCTCAGTTTAAAGCATTCCTTGATGCAACTGGAGGTCTATGGAGAACACAACAACTAGCTGGCAAGCCTGCCGGCATATTCTATAGCACTGGATCCCAAGGCGGTGGCCAAGAAACTACACCGTATGATCTTATATCACATAATTTCATATTACTACACATGTTGTTAGAGTCTTGAAATCTATGCAGTAACTTGATAACTGTCATTAGTTTTCTTGATATTTTTCTTAACCCAAGATCTTTGGTAGGTTGACTGCGATAACTCAGCTTGTTCACCACGGGATGATCTTTGTACCTATCGGATACACATTCGGTGCTGGTATGTTTGAAATGGAGAAAGTGAAAGGAGGAAGTCCATATGGGGCGGGAACATTTGCTGGGGATGGCTCGAGACAGCCATCCGATCTTGAATTGCAGCAGGCGTTTCACCAGGGTAAATACATTGCCGGTATTGCCAAGAAACTCAAAGGTGCAGCCTAATTTCTCTCCTGCAAAGATAATCTTTGCATTCACACATTTCTTCTCAAATCCTAAAAAAAAGAACTACAAAATTTATATTTGTGATTGTTGAAGTCTATTTTTCCTTTATTGGGTATGAAATCCGATCTGTATGTGTCTGATTTCACTGTAATTGTGTGTCAAAAGTACCAAGTTGTGTTTTAAAATTGTTGCAAATACAACACAAGTTGAATACTCTATTATTTATAGTGAGTGATTGATTGAATGAAACAAAATCAAGAATCCATGATCTTCCACAGTTTGAATTTATCACATTATGTGTTTATATCAAACTATATCAATGTATCACAGTTAAGTAATATGGTTAAATAATTAAAGTCTATTTGCAAACACATATCATGCAGCTATTGACACATTACTGGTGGCATGTGGGCCAGTCCCGGGCTTAAGTGGGCTAAGTGGGCCTGTCCTAAGTGGGTCGGTCCCAATTTAAACGGGCTTCGCTGTCCCGATCTTGGTGGTCCTTTTGTAGGAACCGGCCCGGGACCGGGTCCACGAACTAATGGTCCCGGGCTAAGTAGGCCGGTCCCGGGCTAAGTGGACCCAAGTGGGCTTAAGTGGACCCAACATATATTTTATTTTTAATTTTATAGAAGTTAGAGATAAAAAGATGGTAATAAAAATATCTAAGGCATTTCCTTGTAAATTATATTATAGAATTGTGAGCTAAATTTTTTAATTCAAATTTAAAGATAAAAATATTGTAAAGAGATATTCAAAGCAATGCGTTATAATTTTATTATAGCATTAAAAAACATGGCAATATCTTTCTTAATCTTGCTCCCCCTTATGAAATAAGCACAACAAGGTGCTAATACCACCATTGAGAAGAAAAGAAACTAATCAAGATGTGCCAAAATACAAGTTAGCAATAAACTGCCTTGTGTGACGTGAATTAATTATTCTATAAGCAATAATGCACTTTTGTATTATCCAATCCAATAACTGGTAACAGTTAGGTAATCACAGTCATTACCACTTCTATCAATATCAGTTGTAATAGCAACACTACAATTTATATGAGTAAATAAATAGCGCAAATATTGTTCATATTCATGTTTATATTTATAAATATCGCTCTTTACGGTTGTGCGAGGAAAACCTTTAAATGTAGGATTAAAAAAATTTCTAATATAATGCACAAAGTGAGAGTTAGAAGGAAAACTATAGGGTAAGCACATAACAGTAACCATTTTTGCCAATTCTTTCCGATTTTTTTTGGATCATAATATAAAATACCACCGGTAACAGTGTTAATTCCCGGTTGAAATTGATTTGACCTGGTACTTGGGTCAGCCTGACTAGGAGTAGGTACACTTGTCCCCTCGGCCAAGGCTTTCATACGAAGATAATTGACTTTATCTTGAAGGTGTATCAATATGTGTCTAGCCAAAGCTCCCCCCCTCCCCCCGACCTCCAAAATATTTAAAAGCTAACTCCTTGCCACAAGTTTTACACTTAGCCTTATTTTGTGGAATTAGTTGAGTAAAAAATGGCCAAACAATAGATGTTTATGTCCGTTTTGTACGTTGTCTAGAAAATGTAGGGGTAGTAACAAGAGGGTCAGACAGGGCATCATTTGGATTATCATTAGATGAGTTAACTTCAGGAGCAGGACTAGTGGGTGCATCGTCATCCGGTTGCATTTCATCAAAATCTATTTCCTCCTCATTATTTTCATCAATAGTTGGATTAGAATAAAGAGCATTCATTAATTCATGGTCTAATTGTTCACCAGTTCCAACATTATGGCAAAATTGACTATCAGTAAATTGTAATAAACTATTATCACTATCAAGAATAGCAGGTGTAGGACTGGCATGAGGTTTGGGTCGGGGAGCCGGGGAAAGTGGAGGAGGAACAGATTGGCCACTAGATTCGCCACTCTTGGATTTTCCCTTATTTTTACCAATTTTTTTTAAGGAAGTCATCTTAATAAATCAAATAATAGAAAATAAATAAAACAAACAAAACTATAATATTAAAAATTAAGAGTTGGAACGAGTTTACCGAATTGACGAACAACTTGTTGAAAATTGATTATCGTTGAAGACTTGAAGACTTCAATTCACCAACTTCACAATTTTTTCACAAATTGTAACAATAAAGTAAGCAATAGTAGCAATTATAGAAGAAAATTAGAGAGAGATTGATGATTTTGTGAGAAAAAAGAAAGAATGAGGGGGTATTTATAGTTGAAAATAGGAAAAAAGTGTAATTATAAAAAGTTTGGGGTTAAAACAAAGTTTGGGGGGTTAAATGACTATTTTGCAAATAGCCAACGGCTATTCTGGTAGACCAAACGACTAGTTTTTAAATGCCCAAACGGGCAATTGTTTTTTTTTAAAAAAAATTGACCGTTGGAACCGTTTAGGCCCGCTTAGGATCGGTCCGGTCCCGGTCTTGCGGTCTTTTTTTGAAGGACTGGCCCAGAAGACCGGCCCACCTCCACTGTCCCGATTCTAACCGGTTAAGGACCGTTTAGGCCCAGAAACTCACATGGTCCGTGGTCTCGGGCCGGTCCCGGGGCTGAACCGGCCCACATGCCACCCTTACTTGACATACACATGTTGGCGAACAATTTAGTGTACGTGTTGGTCTTACGTTTATGAGTAGAAATAACACCAGATGACCACTTTTAATGGTGCTATTTAAAATACAATCGCAGTTCACAACATATTTAATTTTTAGTCACTTCCTTTGCCTGCCTACTCATCCTTCTTCCCCCTTCTTCTTCCCTCATGCTTCTTCCTCGTAAATAATTTTATATATACAAAGTATTGACTTCTAATAAAAGCAAAATTGTGCAAACTTTTTATAAATTTCAGACATTAACATATCTTGAACTATTTGGCTTATCAAGTCAAAATTTGAATTACCATAGCAAAGAAAATTGTTGTGGCCTTGCTTTGCATGGTTTATCGTAAAATTGCAATTCGAACTTTAGGACAGTGGCATGATATTGGAACTGCCAAAACTGAACTCGAACACTATCCTGATATTTGAACTGTAAGAACTGAACTTTAAGACAATGTCCATAAGTTTGAACCCAAAAAACTGCACTTTACAACATTGCAAATATTGATTATATTTTAAACAACAACACTGAAAGTGCGTATTAACCACGTTTACAATAAAAATGATCTAGCCCTTGGGGACGCGCATTAATATTGGATAACTTTATCTTATCACAACGTGTGATTAACAGGATTGACCCCATAAAGTGCAGGTCTTTAAATATTATCCTTGTTTTAAAATGTATTTAAAAGATAATGCCCGGACCCGCACACACAGTTATTGCTCTTCAGAAATTTTTCTATCGGATTGATAGAATTTATACTATATTTACTCTACCTATATTAATAGTTGTCACAAGCACTATCCGATTGGCTTAATTTTGTGCTTGTTCAATGTTCACCAAACTCTACCTGATTGGTATAATTCTATGTTATCTACTATTGACATATCTTTTAAATTAAAATATACTCGGTTCACGTGATTTGTGATTGTTCAATTATTCATCAAACTCTACTAGATTGGCGTAATTTTGTTTAAATTTATTCAACCATGTTAAGTTGCTCATCAAAGTCTGCCTCATTAGCATAATTTTTTATGTTGTTCAACAATACGTTCTTCGATTTTGCAATTTTGATTTCGATCAAATCACTACAAAGCTACTCCAAATGCTCTTAAATTTAAAATAAAGCATCTAAATACCAACACCAATGATCCCCAATTGTCAATTTAGTAATAAATAAAAACAAATCAAGAAGGACCATTTTGTCTTATTCAACACTTTTTAAGGACTAATAATGAAGTTTTGAGATTTTTAAAGCAAATTATTAAATTAATGGTTGAACTACAAATTTAAGCATCAATTACCAACATTCAAACGATTTTAACAATAACACTTTCCAATGCCAAACAAGAATTTTAAGCTTCTAAACTTGAAGAATTATAGTATTCTTGGCAAAGAAGAAGAGATGGAGAAGGAGCTCAAGGAACAAATATGATTTGGTACACAAGGGAAAGAGACCGAGTTCAATTATTAAATACAGTCAGAACTCTTTATAACAACATCCTTATATAACAATCATTCATTATAAAAGCCAAGTATTTCTCGGAACTGAGTTTTTATGTTATATTTTACCTCTCTATAACAGTTTTTTACTTATAAAAGCAACATCCATCTTTATAGTAATATCGCTCTTTATAAAATTATCCCCCCTGTAATTTAAGATCACCAATGATCAGTTTACATACTTTAACCTAAACTTATTACTACTTGGATTGTGATAGAAGATTTAATTACTAAGCTCCTAGATTGCCTTCAAGCGAAAGGTATCGGATTGCTGAAAGTTTGGACATAAATTTTCGCCAATTCAAGCATTATATCGTTAGTAGGAGACTGAAATCTATGAAATAAGCTACAACTACAGAGTTCTTTCATCAATCTTGAAAGATTTAAATTTTTTAGTAGCTATAAAATGTGTGCCTTAGAGTTTAAATCTTTTTATATTTAGTTATGAATTTATTAATAATGTATTATCTTTCTTTAACATTTAATTAGTGAAATATGCATATTTTGAGTATTTACATGTGAATACTTTTTTTTTACCTTTTACATGTAACATAAACTAAAAAAAATAGATTTTTGGATAATTTTATTTATAACAGCTAAAAAATATTTAAATATCGAATATTGTTATATGTGTATAACAACCATTCACTATAAAAGTCAAAACATATTAGAACAAATGATGATATTATAGAAATGTTTGACATTACCGCCAATTACGAGAATATTCAGCTAAGACCAGTCCTATTGGAGAACGCACTCTTTTACTCACTCGGAGTATATTTCTATTGTCAACAAATAAAGGCACACTCTTGATTTTCCCCCCTATGTTTACCCGAAAAACGGATAGAGTTAAATTTGTATGTAGTTCTAAGGGTATGTGGTATAACTTGACACAAATCGTAAGAGTAAATAGAAATATCGAATATTGACTATAAAGGATGAAAAATAATCAAAGCCGAAAAGAAGATGATTTGTGGATTAAGCAAGATGAATCAATATATGGAGCTAAAAAAGAATAATTATTCAATATGGGAGTATATGATATCTTTGTTACAATGTATGAATGTCCTGCCTTTACAAAAATAATAATCATCCCCTTTATAGTAGAGGGATCCTGCTTTAGATATAATTAAAAATACATAGTGGGAGACCCAT